CTGGTGCCGGCTACTGGTGTAATTGGATGTCCCCATCCCGTTACTGTGGAGTGGCTGCGGCTGTAAGTCATCCTAAGAGGCCGACGAGAGGATGGGCCGTTTATCTTTGGGATGAAGCACATCCCGACCAGGCTGGCAGAGAGGCGGGGACGCTGGCGTTTATTCATGACGCTTCCTGCTTTTCTGTTGGTTCCCAGGGAGCGATAACACGACCTGGTTCAGAAATAATGGGACCGGTTCCTGGAACTGTGCTCGTTTCTAGAGGGATGACGTAAGCTGACATTTGAAAATGCCAGACCCTCTATTTAACACCCCTCTGAGACACCATCTCTGAACAGAAGCTGTATGTGACCAGACAAGGTGAGGGCCACATCCTGGGAACTCGCTCCTTCCATCCTCCCAGAACTTAGCGGGAGACCAGCTCAGTGGGTCTGCGTTTTGCCAACAGAAGAATAGAGTTCTTCCAGCTCGGGCTTCTTAGTCTTGCTGTGATAAAGAAAGTTAATTTTTTCTCCTTTAATTTCCAATCCAGCCCAGATGAAGTTTTGTGAAATTCAATAAAGGTGAGTTTGGAGGATGCGATCACACTGAGTGGCTAGAAGCCTTCCTCGATGCTTATGCTTGAGTTCGCACAGGTCTCGCTGAGGGCGGGGAGCAGACGGCTTGTGGACCTGAGCACCTACGGGGACCACCCTGTGCACCTACTCACAGCGCCGTGGCCCGGCCAAGTCTAAAAACATGATTCAAACGAACTTACCTATAAACCAAAATTAGACTCACAGGCATAGAAGACACACTATGGTGACCAAAGGGGCAAGGGGGGAGGGGGAGGGATAAATGAGGGGTTCGAGATTAGCAGACACACACTATATAAAGCAGATAAACAAGGACCTGCTGTCCAGCACAGGGAACATATTCAATATCTTGTAATAACCTATGGAGGAAAAGAATCTGGAAAAGAACATGTATGTATGTGCATGACTGAACCACTTTGCTGTACACTTGAAACTAACACGACACTGTGAAGCGACTATGTTAATACAAAGATAAATAAATAAAATAATAGAATAAAATCAGCCCAGGCCAGACAGACAGAGGATTTCAGTGCACTGATATCAGTACCTATCATTTTTCTCCATACTTACATCCATGTACCCTTATTCACATAAATATCTGTGACCTCTATTTCGGTGGCATTCCAGAGCCAATTGAAAAAAATCTGTGGGCGGTTCTGAGACGCTGGGGACATGGCTTCCTCTCTGTTGTCTCTGTGTCTCCCCTTTTCCAGCCCGATCCTGTCTGCAGTTTCCAGCCCCCAGACCTCTCG